GGGGGGGGGAGCTCAAGGGGGGCTGGCCGGGGGGACGGCTTGTGCCGCCCTGCAGGGCGTCCTGCGGAGGATGGATGCAGGGTGACTTGCAACCGCTGCTACGCATCCCTATAGGCAGCACATACCATGCTGACGGAGGTTATCTCTGATATCCACAAATCACAACCTTCGTGACCTACCTCAGCGGGCGTGGTGCATTGATGGAACCCAGCGGCGGCGGCGCATCAACGCCGCCAGTGTTGCCGCCGCTTCGACTCGGTGCAGGACCTTCTGCAGGCCTTCTCGCGGCTGGTCGGGACAGTTGCTGGTAGCTGCATCGAACAACACATTTTAAATCGCCAGCCAGCCCGCTCGTCGAGGGCTGTGGCTGCCCGAGGCCCTGCAATCGTGTACAAGGCGTTTTGTAAGGCAATCGATGCATCAAGGGAATATGAGTGTAACATCGATACGACCTGGCTGCTATAAGTACCATGCCATGCGCACCGACGCGGGCCCTCGAAGGAACATCCACGATGTGTGCGGCGTGCGGCGTAGACTCTGCGTATCAAGTGCAAAACATTGATAAACGAAACCTATTCGTGAAACCAGTTCATGCACAGATCAAGATATGCACTCGCGCGGCCGGCGGCGGGTGACTGAGTGACACCCACGAATGCAGCGCACGCAACCCAGACGCGGCAGACTTGTGCCGTGTACAGCCGATGGAAAGTTTAGGAGGGGTCCGTAAAAATCAGTGCATCACATGTCAGCTGACTAACTGGCCAGGCCCATTGCTGGTAGGCTCTTGATCCAACGCGGCCGACTGGAGGTAGGGGGGTGTGCCTGGTGCTGGCTGTGCATGTGTGCAACCGGGCATGCAATGAGAGCACCCTGTGGGGTAAAAAGCTGCAAGCAAGTATTTTTACAAGTGTAGTACGGGCCTAAAACGAGCTGGATGAGCTCCAACGGATTGGTTTGGCGGCAAACTATACAGGTGCTGATTGACGTCGGCGGGGCGCAATGTTTGCAGATGATGACAAGTGCAATCAGTGATTAGAGACTAATCAAGGCGGTTGAAACCCGTCAAAATACATCGGGCCCGTGTTTGATGTGGCAGCTCAACCCCCTTGATGGCACCGCAGAGGCCGCCGCCTGCTTGAGGGCGGGAGTCCTGGCTTGAGGGCGGGAGTTGCAGCCCGGGGGCGCTCACGTGCACGTTTGAGGAGCTTCGTGGAGCGGCCGCAGTGCTTGAAGGCCGTCTGACTCAGGTATGGCCGGCTGCTGGCGACAACCGTCGGTGGGTGAAACCCACAGACACCCGTTGTGTCCGTCTGAACCCTGAGCTGACAATGACCGCTGGCTGCCTGCGGGCACAAGTCGCAGCCAGGGGGCGCTCACGCCCACATCTTGGGGAGCTGCTTGGGGCGGCCATACTGCTTGAAGGCCGCCTGGCTCAGGTCAGGCCAGCCGCTGGGATTGGCGTCGCTGGTCACCTGGGCAAAGCGGCGGGAAGGGGGCAGCAGCAGCACATCAAAAAGGCGGTCAGCTGGCATGCAGCTGAGGAGCGCGGCCAAGATTGTCGCGCCATGCAGGGCGTCAAGGCACGTACCGCTCATATGGTTTGTAAAACGTCCGTTCTTGGTGAGTTCATTGTGTGCAAATTGCCAGCTATGCTGGCTACTGTAATTGTGATCGGCTGTGCACTCTCTCTCACGCGCACGCATGCACGCTTGACAGGCTTGCCGATGCACATGCGCCTAAACATTGACCACAAACCTGGGCAAAGCACTTGTCACGCGCGTCTTGTTTTTCGTTTAACGCGCAGGGCACACAAGAGTGCGAGTCGAGGTATGCGATAGCCTCCTTGAAAGTGCCTGCAGTGTCAGCGCAAGAGACAGCGTCAGTTTCCACAGCTTTGAGCAGTGCAATCGCGCCCACACTCGCGGCAGCAAAATCTTCGCTCGCGCAGAGCGGGCTGCCGGCCCAAATTAACGGCCACCCATCGGCCCAGAAGCGGCACCGCAGCAAGCGCCTGCGCGCACGTACCCAGGATGAGACGGGCCCGGGTGAACCCGCACGAGGCCTGCCACTGCCGGGAGCACTTGAGGCACCCGTCCCGGGCGCCCGTCGCGCTGCACGCCTCGCACTCGTACGCCGTGATCAGCGGCTTGCCCGACTTGGCGTCCCCGCAGTCCGGCAGCCGGACTGCGATGGTCCCGCTCAGCCAGCCCTCGGCGTCGCCGCCGGCCTGGTACTGCGGCTTGGCTGGGTCCACGCCGTCGAGCAGCGTGCACGTGTGCTGCAGCCACGCGCCAGACGGCGTGCAGGCCGGCTTGTCGTCGGTGCGGCCGCCGCAGGCGGAGCAGGTGGTCTGGGTGGACTGGATGGGCAGGTAGCTACGGCCGAATGCGGGGGTGCAGCCGAAGGCGTTGCCGATCACCTCTGTTGCGGGCGGGCGCAGAGGTTTGGTCGGTGGGTTCGTTCGTTGGTCCCGCTGCTGCATCGACGCCATCGACGTGAGAAAATGAGTGGCCACTGCCAGCTCTGGGCTCGTCGGCGGCACTGTTGGCAAGCGGTTGGCAGCGAGACTGCACCACCGCTGTTCGCGCCGCACTCAGTGCTTCACAAACTTCCGTGTGTGTGCGTTGGTTTTTTCGGACCCGCTGGGCCAGGCGGCGCGGCTGGCAGGTTTGCTGGGATGTATATGCAACTGTGCAACGCCATCCCACCTACCTGGCGGGGTTTTCTTGTGGTAATCAAGGCAGTACTTGCCGCAGCCGCCGGGCTTGCTGGGGGCACAGAAGGGTGTTATACGGAGAGGGTGATGTGCCTCAGCTGCAGAGTAGGGCCGAGGTACAGAAGGTGCATGGCCCGGGCTGCGACGCCACGCCAGCATGACTGGCACGGCGCGACTGCCCGATGGCAGCCGCAGCAAGCACCCCGAGCGCTTCTTCATGGCTGCCTCACTTGCCGCGGCCCCGCTGGTCGCGCAGCCGCAAGCACTGGACCCTGCCGTCTGCTCCCCTGCGCCTGCAGCTCAAGCGGAACTGGCAAGCCCTGCGCCCTGACACCCCCGAGCGCGCCTGCAGTAGGTCCAGGCGGTGCAGCCGGCGGTGAGGGCGCACGCCTTCTGGCAGTCCAGGGCGCTGGCGACGTTTGCGTCGGACGCGTTGTTGACGCTGATGACGAGGACGGAGCCCTTGATGTTGCCCGGCTTGGGGGCGCTGTACACGACCGCGGGCCCCGTCGGCTGGGACAGCGCGCCTGCTAAGAGCGGGGCCATCATGAGAACATGGGGTGTGTTTGGGTGTGCGCTTGTGTATGTGTGTGCGTGTGTGTGTGTGTGTGTGTGTGTGCGCATTTGCCCATGCGTGAATTCATGTGGGGCGCAGGGGGTACGGTTTCATAGCATCTGCTCGTGCTGGGGCGAGTTGTCAGGGGCACTGCACACATCTCGGCCGCTTCCACACGCCGTGCACGACCCACAGGCACGCTCGTGCGATTGGTTTCGGGGGCCGAGAAAGCAAGCGTTGGCCAACACATTTGCGTGTTAAGTCGGCTCATCAGGGGTGCGCTCTGCTCGAGCTCAGCTGCTGCTGGCTCACCCGCTGGCTGTCCGCGCCGAACCCACCTGCCATCATGACCAGCAGCATGACGGCAACAGTAGCTTTGATGCGCGTCATTGTAGAAGTCATCCGGAGCCCGCAGGTTGCTCTACGAAGGCTCCGCAGGCCAAATTATTGTTCTCGGTCGCGGCGCTGCCGGAACGCAAAATACACGGATAGATCTAGCACATGAAGCGTTTTCGGGGCTTCAGTGACTTGGGTTTAGCTGGGATCTGAGCTGGTGACACTTGCAACTGGTGTGACCGCGAGGTGTGACCTGTCGCTGTGAAGAAATCGGAGCGGTTTGGGGGGAGGAGGTTGTGCGCAGCGGCTGCTTGAGAAGTTGACCAGTGAGCAGAGCGCTTTGCTGTTGACGCAATTCCTGTTCCAGCCCTGCTCTGCTGCTACTGGCCCTGATTAGCAACCTTGTGCGACAGGACAGGCCATGAACCCCTGGCACCCATCAGCACCAGCACATGTACCGCGCAGCCGCAGATGCTGTGCATCGCGCTGATGAGTGCAGGCAAAGTTTTTTGTTGCCATGTTGTGGCGCACGTGGCTGTACGCCGCGGGCTGTTTCGTGTTACCCACCGCACATCCGGTGCGGCAGACTGGTGTGCGCTCCCCAGCCGCATGGTAGGCGGGCATACCACACGTGCACACAGCAGTCAAGATGCGGGCGCCAACTTCGATGGCGATCCCCATCTCCATATTCTCCGTTGATGGGATGGCAGGGGCTGAAAATGCGCATTCACTGGCTTGGATGGGCAGCATGTGCAGTCTGCGCCTGGCGTAAAGCGTGAAGATATCCTCAGCTTTCACGTTGCAGGCCTCTCCCGTTGTACCTTATGCTCGTTATGGGTGCGTTCTTATCCTGCGCTATCACTTGTATTATCACATCCGCAGCATCATATATGGCAGGTTCAACACCTACTTGCGGTCCTGACCGCTCCCTGCAACAGGATTCAACTGCACACAAGTCCAGGCAAGTAGCTAATGAGTGTCCAATTGGAGAATGGTCCCATGTTTTTGGAAGCTTCACGCAGGTGCTACCCCAATAGGCACTTGCCTTTCGGTCAGCTTGGCAGGGGGGAGGGGGGAGTAGGGCACCCCCGCAAGTACCCTTGATGCTGGCTGGCAGAGGCGCATGCTGCATCCCTTGAGGGTTCTATTCCTATCAGGCTCAATACCACGGCACATAGGGCCGCATTATCAGGAGAGCCTAGGCCACGTGGCTGCGTTCAGCAAACATTGCACGAGGTATGGCGAGAGGACGAAGTGGTTTCGCGCTGCTGCCGTCTTTCGCAAAACGAATCTTGGCTACGGTAGTCAGGGAGAAATTGTCGTAATGCGCGAGGTCGTGCCTGCAGCAGCGACACCCCTAAGGATGGCGGCCCAACACTCACCATGGCGCCCCCGAGTCACCCTGCGCTTGGTGCTGCCCATCGTGGCCCTGCTGGCCATCTCCCTGGTCGTGAAGCCCTGTGATGCAGCCCTCCGCACTTCTGCTCTGCTGGTGAGCAGCCGTCGGCGCGGGTGCTGCCGCCGAGCTGACCGCGCACGGACCATGTGCACATGCCCACGCCGGCAACCCCGGGGGGGCTCGGTCGGCAGGGGTCGCCGCCCGCGAATCCCGCAAAACACCCACTCGAGACTTCAAGCTTTTGATTGAAATCCCACGATGATTTCCGCGCGCAAACGCAGCGGGATCCAACAGCGCCCGACGTCGCCCGTGCCTCCTAGCCGGCGGCAGCTGCGGCGCCGGCGCCGGCCGCCGCACGCCCCGCCGCACCCGCGGCGGCCGCGGCGGCGGCTGTGTCCGGCTACTCGGTGCTCGGCGGCGCGCAGCATGTGAACCTGCTGCACCTGGTGCCGCAGCTGCTGGGGCTACGGGAGCAGAAGCCGCTTGCGGGCGCGGACGCTTTCGGCAGCAGTGATGGGCTGGGTCTGCTTGGCGGCGGCGACGCCAGCGGCGGCGGTGGCGGCGGCAAGCAGACGCCCCACAAGAACCTCTTCCCCCTGGACTGGACTGACATTGCTATGCTGGCACTCACGCTGATCACGCTCATCCTTGCCGCCGGCGGCGGCATCGGTGGAGGCGCCATCTACATGCCGGTGAGCTGTTGAGGCCGGCCCGCCGCACTGGCATCAGGCGTGGCGAGGCGCTGAGCTCCTGCGTCGCAAAGCGCTTTCAACAGCGTGGCAAAGCGCTGCTATTGTCAGGCTGCCGTCGGCCGCCTGCGGGCTAGGCCACACCTGCTGCTTCGCCTGTGGCCACCCATATGCCCCAGTGCGCCACTGGAGCCGCGGCGCAGCAGTTGTCCTGCAGGTCCCCGAGCCACCTCCTGCGCACCGTGTATACTCGACCAACGCCTTTGCATGACCCATGGACCCTTCCCGCAGCTGTTCTGCGCCCTGGGCGGCTTCAACTCCAGCCAGGCCGTCGCACTCTCGAACGTGACCATCGTGGGCGGCGCCATGGCCAACTTCATCATCAACGTGCAGCGGAGGCACCCCCTGGTGTCCACCGCGCCCCTCATCGACTGGGCGCTGATTCTGGTGCGGTCGTGGGGCCGGGCGGGGAGGGGCGGGACGGGGCGTCGCAGGGCGTGGCGGGGCGTGGTCGGGCGTGGCGGGGGCCTCGCACGGCCGTTGAGGCTGCACGCACCGGTTTCATTTGTGTGTGTGTGTGTGTGTGTGCGGGGGGTTTCCACCGCGTTGAGGGTGTGCTGGGATGCAGCGTGGCAGAGAGGCAGGCGCAGACGCCTTTGCCGCAAACGGAACCTCCAGCTTTGCTGCGATGTGCTTTCACCGTCGCCGCTGCCGCTGCCGCCCCCCAGATCATGGAGCCGACCACGATCCTGGGCGCCGTGATTGGGACATACGCCAACAAGGTGCGAATGGCACCGCCCGCCCCGCTGCTCGCGGCCGCGCCTGCCAGCGGCAGCCCGGCTTTTTCGCCCCGTCTGCCCCATGGGTCCCTCCAGGCCTGTTCGGGTGCGGATCTGCCTCTGTTTCTTCCACTTTCCCCGGCCCACTGTGCTGACGCCCCCAACCTTTGTTTGCAACCCAGGTGCTGCCTAGCGTGGCGACAGTGAGCCTCATGACGATCCTGCTGTCCCTGCTCACCATCAACCTCTGGCGCCGCGCCATCAGCATGCACACCGCCGAGACCCGCGCGTTCCAGGCGCTCGCCGCCGAGGCGGCGGCCAACCCCTCCGCCGCAAACGGCGGGCTCAGGG